TAACAAGATTTCATTTTTTTTATACTATATCATTGTATATTTTTGCAGTGAACATGAGAGTGGATATATTTTTTCAAACTAGTGTTTCCATTTTGTTTGGATATATACCCAGAAATGGAATTGCTGGGTCATATAGTTTTCATTTAAAATTTTAAAATCAGCTTTCCCCTATTGTTTTCCACATGGTTGCACCAATTTATATTCCTACTAACAGTGACCAAGGAGTTCCTATTTTGCTCACCATTACCAGAATTTGTTAATGTTTATCTTTTTGATGCTAGCTAGATGATACCTCCTTGTGGTTTATGCCTAATGTTCAATGTTCAATTAATGTTGAAATTGTGTGTGCCAGGTTTCTTTGGATAGTAGATAGCATACAGGATTCCAGTAAAGTGACAGTATGGCAGAATGGGCACCACCTCTTTCACAGTCCCTTCAGGGAACCAGCTTGTGTGGCTGTACAAGGAACCAGTCCTTGAGCCACTGAAAGATGGTGTCATTGCATTTGATAATTCAGTGATCGTTGATAGAAGCCTTCTGTAGCTTGGAGGTGTGATAGCCATGCAAAAGCCCATTTCTAACACCGAGCCCTCTTTGGAGGTGGTGCTGGTCAGTAGCACGTGCATGTACAGAATCTCCCAGCACACCAAGCCTGAAATCTATAGGTTTGTGTTGAAGATGTAGGCTGTCAATGCCACCTGCCACATGGGGCTACAATTCTTGGCTGGCATGAATATGGGGTTAATTAATGGTGGGGTTGCTTCTGCTGTAGGCTGGGTGGCAAACACTAGATTTAGCTTCTAACACCCTAGCCATGTCACTAGTTCCCCTAAGGAGCAGCTGAACAGAGCTCTTTATGCTGTCATGCTAGAAGTTTCTCTCTTCACTCTGATCTTATATATCTTAGAAAATTAATTTCATCCATCTTGCATACTTTGTATCCTTGGTAGTACTTAGTGTAGTACTACTTCATTACATCTAGTGAAATTACAGTTACTGTGTGTGCTGGTTAAGCTCAGGCTGGTGGGTTCAAATCCTGGTCTCTCTAAATACTTCAGTAATTTGACTTTGAAAAAGCTACTTCTTTAAGCATTTGTGTTCTCATTTGTAAGCGGAATACTTTGTACATTACAAAGTATTGTGAGGCTAGAGTAGAATATTCCATGAGTAAATATCCTTAGAAAAGTGCCTCCCATATTTTTAAAGTATTGGTGATGATTAATACTTTTGGTTGACCAACATTAATAAAAATGAAGATTTAATAGATATTACACTTGGAAAAAATACTTATAACCTGCAAGTACTGAAACTTTCTGTTTGGTAACTATGACAAAACATACGGCCTGAATTTTTAACCCAAATACTATAATTTGGCACTTTCAATAGCCATTGGGCCATTTCTCCCAAAAATATTGCCAATAATTTGTAGTTTTCTAGATTTCTAGATTTGTAGTTTCCAAGCTGCTTCAAAGGAAATCTAAAGCTGAATTCTATAGTTTGGCATTTGACTTCCGTAATTGGGAGTTCTTACTACAGTGAAGGCACTATTCGTGGTTTTTTTAATGATGCTGTTAAATACTGCCTACATTTAAACAAAAATGCATCTATACCATTAACTGTTTCTAAATATAGTGGTTTCTGTCTTACACTTGAGGTACCAGAAAGCCTTACAAAGTTGACTGTAATGTAGTTTGATGTGAAAATCAGTTTAGGGGCTTACTCCAAACCTGTGCATATATTTATGCAGAGCCACTATTTATTTATACCATCTCTACTATTTTAAATGCCTTCTTAATCTTGATTTCTTGGCATCTTTCTGCACAAGTAGGATAACTTGCCAACACCTATTTGAAATCCATATATCCCTTTTTCCATGAAGGAAAAGGAGAAAAGGGCTTCCTGTTGGGAAGAGCTATCTTGACTGCCAAACCTATGTAGGTGTGGTTTGTATTTCACTTGGGAAATACTAATCAGGCAAGGTTATCTGTTTTCTGATATTGCCTCTTTCAAGCTGCCTTGTCCACATGTGACCTGAGAGGAGGAGGGGAAAGAAACATCTAGAGGTTCCCTTCCATGGCTTTTGAAGTGGCTTTGGTGATGGTTCATGCAGAGGCTCTTCCAGAACCCTGTTTTCCCACTTGTCAGCTTATTTTAATTGTATACTCCATTTTGTCAGATTACTGACTTTCCACATCTTAAATATCTCTCATGATTTCTCAACTATGAGAGGTTATTTTGGTTTTCTAGTATAGTTAGACATAATTGTAGTTATTTCGTTGCTTATTTGCCTTTCATGTGGCCTAGGGGTAGAAAAGGTACAAATATTGTCAAGAAAATCTACAAATAGTGAAAAGTTATTTAAAATGAGTTTATTTTAGGTTTTAGAGTGGCTCTTCTTTTAGCTCTCTTTGATGGGTTAAGGATCTCTTTTTAATCAGCGAGAGTTTAAAGATCTGTTTTGCAAGTTGGTACTCTGACAAGGCTCTTGAGGAATGATTTCCTTTGTTGAGCATTAAAATTCTCTTTTGAAAAAATAAACTCTAAATGTACATGATTAACTTCTGGACATAATTATAGTAGTGCTCAGAGGAAAATATGTACAGTTTTCTTATTATGCTTAAAACTCTTTTCTCAATATAGGACCACCTATATTCCCTTCCACATGCTTTATTTTCTAGATAGGAGAAATAGCCATTGTCATACAACTATAACATTGATTGACAAATAATATGTCTAGTGCTGTGCTAGGCACTAGGGCAGAGATTAGCAAGCCACTGACCTGTTTTTTGTAAGCAAAGTTTTTTTGAAGCACAGCCATTTTCATTCATGTCTATCTTGGCTTTACAAAGACACCTATGAGTAGCTGAGATCATTTGGCCAAGTCTAAAATATTTTATAATCTGGCTTCCTAAGGAGTAATATAAAGAAAGTAGATCTTGACTGCACTGACTGTGGTATCTTCTGGGTACATAAGAGGAAAATGTGGATTTTGGAATGTATATGTTAGGTGAAGAGAAGGAGAGCATCCAACTTTTAGAGTGTTTGCTACTGTTTGGAAGTTTATGTTCAGTGGACACCTCAAAACTGACCTCTTTCTCTTACTAACACTTTCTTAGTTCACTATTTATAATTCAAATATTTCTTTCCAGTTTCACAGCATATTTGTATAAAATACTCTGATAGCATCTTCCCTGTTTTACCCTTACATCACTTTGGTACTCTTTTCTCACAGTTATAAGATCAAATTAAAACCCAATCTCATTTTCGTTCTTTCAAAGATAACCACTGTCTTGAAATTGGTGTTTATCATTTCCTTGCTTTTTCTTCTATGCTTTTATTCTGTATGTGTTCATCCCTGAACAATACCTAATATTTGTATGTCTATTTTATAACTTTCTGTAAGTGGTATACTATATGTTTGTAGATTGTTGTTTTGGCCTAACAGCATATTTGTGATAATTCATCTCTGTTGCTTCGAATTGTCTATCTGTCATTGCATTAAATGGGCATAACAGTTTATTAATCCTACGGGGTCTTTATTATTATTATTACTTATTATTATTAATTCTATGGGGTCTTTTTTTTCCTAGTTAAGTTGACCTTTTTTTGTTTCTGAGCAACTTTATCAAGGTAATTTATATCTTATATACCTGTTTATATTATACAGTTCAGTGTACACTTCGTGTATATATAGTTTATATATACATAGAGCTGTACAACAATCACCAATTTTAGAGCATTTTTATTCTCAAAACAGGTGTACTCACATCAGTTACTTCCCTATCTCTCACCCTTCCTCCACTCAGAATGAAGCTAATCTGTTTTTGTCTCTGGATTTGTCTGTTCTGACTTTTGATATAAATGGGATCTTTTGTGACTGGCTTTCACTTACCAGAATGTTTTTTGGTTTATGCATGATGTAGCATGTATTGATAGGCTTTAAGTTCACAAAGCTTTGCATTACAAATGACACTGGATGTACAGGAGAACTGTTATATATATATATATATATTTTTTTTTTTTTACTATGTTTTATTAGTAGTAACAGTAAAAATCTAATGTTCTTGCCATTGCTGAAGCTGAGTGTCTTCAGGAGCAAATAAGGCTCAGTCCTTTCCTGTTGAAGAAATTACTGTGTAGTTAGATTAAAAGGACAAATTAATTACAAAACCATGGAAGTACTGCAAGTGAAGAAGCAAAATTATGAAGAACTACAGGAGGAGCAGTTAATTTCTTGGGAGACATGTATAGAGTGTTATAAAGTGAATGTCATTTTATTTGAGTCTGTACCCTAGAAAATTAATAAGATTTCCAGTAGTGTGATATTGACAGGAAAGGAGAAGCAATGCGCAAAGACAGTGCAAAATGAAAAAATGTTTTTCAAGAAACATTTTAGAGAAATAAGATGGAACTAAACAGTATTGTGACAGGACAGAATAGTAATGGTCCATGCTTGTTGGTTTGCACTTGCTACATCAAATCACTAGAAAAATTATACAAGATTAAGATATAGTCATACTTGTAGGGGAAAAAAGCTGACAGTGCAATATGTAGGCTGGAGGCTGGAGAATATTGAGATGGAACAGTCTGTACAATTATACTAATCTTTTTGGTGAGGGATGGTGCCCTGATTTTTGTCATTAAAGATGAAATGGTGGGGCATTTTTCATTAGGTTAAGTTACCAGGACTTACTGATAATGTGTAGTGAGGAATTCTAGGAACTGTACGATTATGCCTATGGTATCTCTTGGACAACTGAATTATTTGGGAATTTGAATAAATAGCCCCTACACTGTCCAGATTACCTTGTGATATTTGTAGTTATCCACTCTGTGCAGAAGCAACATCTGCTTTTACTTTAAGGACTATGATAAGCTTATCATATGCTTTAAAGATTACTAATATGTTCTGTTTTCAGTTCAGAAATGAAACCTAGGTTCACCACTGAGATGTGTCAACTTCAGACATGAACAAACTATTAATTATCACTTCTTCATAGCCAAAAGAATGCAATGGTGTAAAGATTCCTGTTGATGCCAGTAAACCTAATCCAAATGATGTGGAGTTTGACAATCTGTATTTGGATATGAATGGAATCATCCATCCCTGTACTCATCCTGAAGACAAGTATGTAACCTGTTTTGGTCACTGCTACCACAAATTACAAGGAGTACTGTATTATATTACATTATTTACATATCATTACAGACCAGCACCAAAAAATGAGGATGAGATGATGGTTGCAATTTTTGAGTACATCGACAGACTTTTCAATATTGTAAGACCAAGGCGACTTCTGTACATGGCAATAGATGGAGTGGTAAGTACTAAAATAATTTAGGAGGTTCTTTTTTTTTTTTTTAAAGATTTTATTTTATTTGTGCATACAGAGCTGGGGTACAGGCCAGAGGCTCAGGGGCAGCGAGAGGCTTCACCAGAGACAGAGCGGGGAACAGAACAGGCAGATCAACGAAGTACACTGCTGAGGGGAGCAGCGGGCGGATCAGGAGAGGTCTGCCACGCCATGTTGTCACCTCCGGGGCAGGCGGGAATCGAACTCAAGAGGAAGCGGCTTTAGATTCTCAGTGCTGTGCTTTAACCCGCTGCGCCACCAGGGAGGGCCTAGGAGGTTCTTTTTTTACCTTTCCTTGCTGTGTTTCCAGCTTCTAATCTGAAAGATAAATAATGTGAGAGTTTGAGGGGAAAAAGCCTCATTCTTCAGTCAGTTATTCAAACAGTTTTTATGTCTGGCTTGTGCTAGAAATTCTGGGGGTTTTGGCAGCTGCCCTTGCTTTGAAGGTTTATTGCTAAGGGGACAGAAACATAATTCCATGCGATTAGATATTTATAGACTTTATAGACACTCATTATTAAATGCAGGGCATTGAGGGAAGTTGGAAGCCTGTGTTACTAAGGGAATTAGGTAAGAGAAGACAATTAGCTAGGAGATGGGATTTCGTTTTTTTCTCAAATGTGTTACATAAAAGCACCTTGCACAATTTTGATCACACTGACACATATAGGCAGCTGCAGTTGATTTAGAAAAGAGTAGTATGTTGATTTGAGAAGGCCTTACCTGCCACACTCAGGAATTTGGACTCTATCTTAGAGGAAATACACTGTCCTCTAATAATACCAAATAGCTTAGGTTATAAACTTTTTGACCAGCAAACTATGTAAGGATTCATGGACAGTTCAGATAAGTCATAATCCTAAATTTACTTTGTCACATGCAAATAGATTCTTTTTCTTTTAGATTTAGTCATCCTAGTGACTAATGGAATCATTTTCAAAAATCTAAAAAATCTTTGGGTGTAATATTAATTTTTCTGGAAGGTTCTGTTCACAAAATGAAAAACTGCCTAATAACTTGTGAAGTTACTCTTAAAGTGGGGTAAATAATAACTTGTGAAGTTGCACTTAAAGTGGGGTAAATAATAAAGGAAACACCAAGTATGTCTTATTTGGAGCATATTCATTTAACATCCAGGTAAATTTCTTGAAGGCAGATCTTTAACTTTAATCCAGTATGTCTTTACTACAAGATCAAGTATAAAATATGTGCATATTTGCATGCATATACATGCACATGTCTATAGCGTACTTTTTGTTAAAATATAAATGTGAATTTTAATGCTTGCTACATGAATTAGATGGTCTCACTTTACAGGGGCTGTTTAAAAAGAATATAAAATAACTTATTTTAGATAAAAACAGGACACTTCAAAGTATCTCTCCCTGCCAAAACTGAGTTCAGTAATATCAAAACTTTATAATCTATTTAGTTATTTAGGCCTACCCAGTGTTTTAAATTAAACTTAGTTAAATGGATTTTAAAAGTATTTTTGTTAAAATTTTGTTCCTTTCTGACTGTTAAATTGTAGACAGTGGTAATTAAGAACCTTAATGTGGGAAATACAAAATAGAAACTGACAGAACTGACAGATCAGGCCATAGTTTTCTGTTAGCTTTAAGGGAATTAATGAATCCCACATGGGGACTTTTTTTTTTTTTAAGGTGTGGACACAGAGTATATTAACCTGATTCTGGTTCTGTAGCAACTACTCATTGTAAGCTAATTGGATGTTTACGTGAGCTTTCCTTTTTGGTACCTTAAAGCACTAGAACTCACTGGAACTGACATTAGGTTGTGTGCCCTACAGCATTAGGCTTCCTAATGCTGTGACTTCCGTAGAATGTTTATCCTTTTGACGTTGTTAGTCATGTGACTGAACTCAGCTTTTAGGTTCTTGGACTAAATTAAGTTCTCAGGATCTTTCATGTTTGACATGAAAGGATTATTAGACATTATTACTTACTTTCCTATTTTTAGTGTAGTACTTTTACAAGAATTGATTCAAAATAATGTACAGAATTTAGTTTTGAGTAACATGTGACTATAAAATGCATATTTTAGGCACCACGTGCTAAAATGAATCAGCAGCGTTCGAGGAGGTTCAGAGCATCTAAAGAAGGAATGGAAGCCGCAGTAGAGAAGCAACGAGTCAGGGAAGAGATATTGGCAAAAGGTAAAGAATATGCAACTTGAAGTTGTGCTTTCTACAAGATGAATGCAGAAATGGAGGGGTTGTAATTTTTCTTTATGAATAGATGATGTTTTTAATTTGATTAGGGTCCCAGGCTAGTCAAGAAAAAAATATGTTGAGGAAAAGTAGTTTGTGGAATCCCTTACTCGTCAAATAAACTTTATTTCCAAATGCTATAGTTAAAAGGATATGGAAATAAAAGAAGGAAATTCTCGTTGAGTGAGCAAATTGTCAGCTCTTTCAGTGCAAGTGCAGCTTTTAGTTAACTTTCATTTTTCTGTAAAATAGAAATACATTAAGAATGGTTTTTATCTCTTTTTCATATGGAAGCTATAAACACATTCAATATAGGTTGTTGTAGGAGTCACTGTACTACGAGGGTTTCCCCAGCTTTGAAAGTAGGGGTGGGGATACAGTTATCTTTGCAGCTTACCAAAGCCTTGGAATTCCCAGTGGGTGTGCATCTAGAAAGAAGGTCAAGAGGTCAAAGGGACCTTATGTCCCTGGGATTGATTCTTTCCCAAGATCTCTCTGTATGAGATAGGATGTGACTGAGGCACAGTAATTTATTTAGTGTTTTGTTAACTGTTAGTTATTGACTCAGGTTATTGCTCTTAGCAGTTCAAAAGAGATTTTTAAGGATGATTTCTTTTTTTGAAGATGCTGTACACTATATTTGTATTTTGAGTAGCTAAATAGTGACATAGAGGAAAAAATAGAATTTATCCCTTTAACTGATAACTTCATTTTTTTATATAAAGCTGTGATAAACTCAGCATTTTAATTTTGTTTTACAAAGACACCATTATCTGAAGAATTATTACCAAATTGAACTCTTGATTTGTGTGTGCACATGTACTATTGCAGAGGACATTAGGAAGAGTGTCATAATTTTTATATTTTTATATAGCAATGTAGTATCTTTCTGTATCACATTGTTTGAGGATAATGTCAAAGCTTAACTTAAATTTAAGGGGAGGATTCTTTTTTTCTTCCCCAAAGGGAGACCATTGTTCCTCAGATGAAAATGCTTCTCTTTCTTTTGTATTTGAATTTGTTGTTGTTCTGGGTTAATATTAAGTAATTTACTTTTCATGAAATGAAGCAAACATTGCCTCTTTTTCTCTAGGTGGTTATCTTCCTCCAGAAGAAATAAAAGAAAGATTTGATAGCAACTGTATTACACCAGTAAGTAATCTCATACTTTGCTAGCTATTGCAAACTCTTAAATGGTAGATTAATTTATTTCTTTCTATTATTTTAGGGAACTGAGTTCATGGACAATCTTGCTAAATGCCTTCGCTATTACATAGCTGATCGTTTAAATAATGACCCTGGGTGGAAAAATTTGACAGTAAGTTTCACATTTTGGTACTTCAGAAAGATTAGGGTGATCATCTGAGACTATACTTTGATATGACTGGTAATATTGTCCTCCCCTTCCCCCTCCCAATAAAATAGTAGTTGACTGTCAGAGAAAAGAAGATTCTAGGGCTATTAGAAAAGGGGAAGCTTGCATGGTCCAGTTTTAAACAGCCAAATTTTCTTTCAAAGCCAGTTTTTCCTCTTACCATTACTATGAAATGGGACTTACGGTTTTTAAAATGTACATATGAGAAAGTAATTCTTAAATGAAAGTTTCTTTTAGTAGAAATCAAAATACAGCAAGATTAAAATTGTGGGGCTCCCTTTAAAGTATGGCTATGTTTTACTAAGTATTTAAGATCTAAACAAACTTTTATGTAACTTAGGTTCTTGAGTTTGTTTTCTGATTAACTGAATGTGGAAAATTGTATTTAATGGGTGGGTATCTTTTACCACTACCCCTAGAGCTCCATATGGCTTGGTGCTATATCTGGGTAGCAGTGAGAATAGTTGAAACTTGTGAACTCAGTTTTTCTAATAACTAAAGCTGACCCAGCAATTACATTTTTTATATTTCATGTAGAAAATTGATCATGTAATGGTTTTGCTGATTAGCATATGTGCTCAAGCACATACCCGCCCCCTTACTAAGAACTTCCAATTATTGAGACTTATCTTACTAGAATTACTTTAATTAATTTTCAGATACTCATTTCTGTTGATTTTCATGTTAGAAAATTAGGGTTGAGACCCTCCCTGGTTGCGCAATGGGTTAAAACACTGCACTAAGACGCTAAACCCACTTCCGCATGAGTTAGATCCCCGGAGGCAACCACATGGCGAGGCAGACCTCTCCTGACCTGCCTGCTGCTCCCCTCAGCAGTGTACTCCGTTGATATGCCTGTTCTGCTCCCCGGTCTCTCTCTGGTGAATCCTCTCACCCTCCACATCTCTGGCCTGTACCCCAGTTCTGTATGAATAAATAAATAAATCTTAAAAAAAAAGAAAATTAGGGTTGAGCTGAAGGTGTTGAAACTTTTTTATAGGTTATTTTATCTGATGCTAGTGCTCCTGGAGAAGGAGAACATAAAATCATGGATTACATTAGAAGACAAAGAGGTAAAAATCACTTGTAAATGGATGAATATAGTATTCTGCCCTTGTCCCAATAGATGCTTAAAACTGTGGACTGAATTCTATATATATGTATATATATATATATATATATCATGTTTTTTTGTATATATAAATACCTATAATAAAGTTTAATATATAAATTGGACACAGTAAGATACTAACAACAATAACTAAGAATAAAACAATTTTGTAACAATATACTGAAAATTATGTGATTGAACTCTCAAAAGTCTTTTCCATATGTTATATTTTTGGACTGTAGTTGACCACAGGTAACTGAAACTATGGAAAGTGAAACCATGAATTAAGGCGGGATCACTGTATTTGTTCTACTTTAAAAAAAAAAAACAAACCACATATAGAAAATTTTTAGTGTGATACTCCTGTGGTACAAAATATTTATATAGAAACATTCTCGCTTCTTTAGCTCAACCTAACCATGATCCAAACACTCATCATTGTTTATGTGGAGCAGATGGTAAGTTTCTTTGTGATCTGATTCTCTTGTTTTAGACCATAGCAAGTCAGTGGGTTAGAGGGTTGTAATAGATTTTCATCATTGGCTGAAAATTATAAAATGCCTTGCTTATTTCATGTTTGAGGTGGGACTAGTGTTGATTTGCTTAAGCTATGATCATATTCACTCATGAATTTTAAAAATATTTTTCAACCCTTTAATACTGCTGCACATGTCTTGAAAATGGAAAATTTCTTCTCCCTGGTATCTGGAAGACATTGTTGGCAAGAACTGCTAGGAAGTTTTAGGCTTTTGGCTTTGCTGCTGCTGCTTGTATGCTCAGTTGGGCTTTTCTTTGCATTTGTGTTTCATGTAAAGTAATGTCTTGTGTCTCAATGGCAAGGATCTTCTCAAAGTGCTCACTGTTTAGTGTTTTGTCGTTGTTGATTGATAGCTGATCTCATTATGCTCGGCCTTGCTACACACGAACCCAACTTTACCATTATTAGAGAAGAATTCAAACCAAACAAACCCAAACCATGTGGTCTTTGTAATCAGTTTGGACATGAGGTCAAGGACTGTGAAGGTTTGCCAAGAGAAAAGAAGGGAAAGGTAAGAACTTTGAGATGATAGTAGCTGCCTCATTTTTAAAATTTTTATTGTGATAAAATGTACACAATACAAAATACAGTATTTTTACCAGTTTTAAATTCAGTAGTATTAAGTATATTTAGACAACTTTTTGAAATGGATAAAGAGAAGACTGGTTTGATTGTACCTGCTCACTCTGTTACCCCCAGAAAGGTATATCTTTTTTTTTTTTTTTTAAATAATATAAGAATTTATTTTTACATCATTTTGTGCCTTTTTCCATCTCAGTTATAATCCCCATGGGCTTCCCATCACCAAATCACCCGTGTGCCATCACCATAGTCCAGTGCATTTTCCTCCCCCCACTGTTTTTTAATCCCACTCCCTACTCCACCTCCATAAAATGTCTCTGGTATATAGCTGTTCATTATTGTTGTTATTTAGAAAAGTATATCTTTTAAAGTGCTTTAAAACAAATACTCTTTCAAAAGCATGCACACACTCATTTCTTTCTACTCTTCACTTTCTCTAACATAGCTTACTTTCATTAGGGTCAAATGTCATAGGTAGTTATGCCCACTGAACATGATTTGTTTACAGAATTTGTTTGAAATGGTTATTTCTAAAAGGAATTACTAATCAATTATTTTAATTTTCTTGATACTTTTAAGTTACACATAATTTCTATTTATTTTGGGTTCACTTATTATATCCAATACCCTTTAAAGGGGTTTCCATCTGTTTTAAGATTATCATGCATCTTTAAAAGAAATACTGAGAAAAATAAAGCAGGTAAGAAATATAATTATCATGCATCTTTAAAAGAAATACTGAGAAAAATAAAGCAGGTAAGAAATATATGACTTCATATTTGTAACAAATAAATGTTTTTGTTTCAGCATATACATAGAGAAGGGTGTAGTATTATAATTAGTTGGGTTATAGGTCAGAGTTTAGCAAACCATGGCACTCTGGATTTCACCTATGAACTAAGAATGGTCTTTATATTTTCAAAGGGTTATAAAAACAATAAAATGTGAGAGAATATACATCAAGATTATTTGTCTTCCATATGCTATAAAATAGTTACTATCTGGCTCTACAAAAAAAAAAAAGGATTATTTGGTGTTTGTATTTTTATTGGTGGTTTGTCTTTAAAATGGTTTGTTAAGTTCCTTTTAATTTGATATATATAACATTAAAATGGATCTTACTTTAGAAAAAGTTATAATACTTGTTTGCATGGGGAAAAATACAGGATTTAGAGAAGATTTGTTGAATTTGTCCTTCCTTTCTTGCAGCATGATGAACTTGCAGACAGTCTTCCTTGTGCTGAAGGAGAATTCATCTTCCTTCGTCTTAATGTTCTCCGCGAGGTATGTGGCAGTAACATAGGAAGTGGCACTCTAAAGCAGGCTGCCTTCTGATAGTTTTAATGACAAAGTTCTTTTTTGGTTGTAGTATTTGGAAAGAGAGCTCACCATGGCTAGCCTGCCATTCACATTTGATATTGAGAGGAGCATTGATGATTGGGTCTTCATGTGCTTCTTTGTGGGAAATGACTTCCTTCCTCACCTGCCTTCATTAGAGATTAGGTATGTGTGTTTGTGTGGGTTTTTTTAACTGCAATTTTAGCCATCTTGCCTTTATAGTGCATATTGGTCCTAATGCATAATGTTTGTTTCCTGGTGGCAGGGAAGGTGCAATTGACCGTTTGGTTAACATATACAAAAATGTGGTACACAAAACCGGGGTAAGTTTACTCTTAAATAATTTCAAAACAAAAGTATTTGCTTTTATAAGAAGATCATTTTACATGTATTTTATCACTTACAGGGTTACCTTACAGAAAGTGGTTATGTCAATCTGCAAAGAGTACAGATGATCATGTTAGCAGTTGGTGAAGTTGAGGATAGCATTTTTAAAAAGAGAAAGGATGATGAGGTAAAGTGTTTCTATTGCAGTAGCTAAATTGCTCCTGTCTCTAATAGGCTATGATGATCCTCTGATTGTAATTTTTATCTCTTTGAGTGTGTTTTTATATCATTCTAGTGTATCATACATTATTGTAATCGTGAGTGGTCGGTGCTTTGATTATTTTATAAAGGGTGTGGTGCTTTGTGGTACTATATTGCATATTGTTTTGAGTTGCATTGTAATTTTTTCTCCACAATTTCAATTAAGATATGCATTCAAATATTGTGTAACCAATGGGATATGAAATGAAAGTTTCAAGGCTAAAAGAATGGTGGGATTAAACTAGTTGCCTCATTCATTTGAAATACTTAGTTTCAGAAGATAGTTAAATTCTAGAAATTTATAGGGAGTAGCACACCTGGGTTAGATTGCATCAGCAAAGGCAGAGTGTGGCAGCTCTGAGTAAGACATTTAAACATAAAAGATGTAACAGAAAAAATGTAAATAAAATTTTTAAATTGCTAAAAAAAAAAAAAGTAACAAAGCTCTGGAAGAATGACTACATACAAAAAAGGGTGAAAAGCCCAGGTCCTTGGCTTGGGTAGTTGGGAGTTCCCTGGTTCATTTAATTGATATTACAAGCAGTGGGGGTAGAACAAGTTAGGGTAGAACAAAGTAGAAATTGAGTTCTCTTTTGGAGATACTGAGTTTGAGGGCCCACAGAACAGAAAAGTCCAGGAACAGTTCAATGGAGGGGTATAGAACTCAAGGTAGAAGTCTTTTGAAAGGAGATTTGAGTATTATTAACAGTTGGGAAATACTTCAAGTCATGAGTGTGAACTTAAAATATCTGACAACTTGTGAAGTCAAAGCACCTCCCATAAAGCCTCATTGTGTGGACTTTAAAGGAGATAGAGAAGACCAAAATTTAGAGAGCTAGAGATGGAGGACATCCTAAGGGAGGAGAATCTTGAGTGTCAGAGTAAGATGAACAGGTAACCTGAGGCTTTCTGGAGGGGCAAGGCACAGTGGGTTAAAGGGTGGTTGTGGGGGTGTAGCAGGAAAGGCAAACCATGGTTAGAAAGTAGCTTCTTAAAGAGCAAAGGAAGTCCTTCCAGAAATTGATTTTATAAAAAAATTATGGCACTAATTTGAGCAAATAGCAGCATCATATTGCTACTCTGCTTATTGATCTTAACAGATTAAAACATGTTACTCTGTTTATAGCTAATGAACTTTTTTTTTAGAACTTAGGAAACTGTTTTATGTAAGAGTGAATTGAAAGTACTAGCCTTTGGTATTTGTCAGTCTTCTGTGATGGCAAGATTTTTTCACAGGTAAAATTCAGATAACAGAACTAACTTTGGAGTATCAAATATCTGCCAGAACAACCATTTTTAAGTAAGTCTTATAATGGCTCCACTTGACCTGCTGCCATTTATACTTAAGAAAAAATTACACTTATTGTGTACTATTTGGTGTAAAATCCTTTGTGACTAGCATGTTCCGTACCCTTAGATATTGAAACTAGTTGGCATAAGAGAAACCTAGTGTGGATTTGATAGACACCATTGTGCTTCAGGTGTAAGTAAATGGTTTCCATTTGGCCAGATGGAGAGGGTATTTTAAAGTTTTTTATCTTTTTTGTTGTCCCTGATTTCAGATGAAATCCTTCCGTTGAGCCCTGGGGAAGTTTTGAACCCTCAGAAACTTAACATAAAACTATCCAGGTGTATTTTCTCAGACAGTATGTTAATGGATTTTGACAAAACTCCGAAGAATTTTTAGCCCGAAAAGATTAAAGATCGGCAAAGGCTTTTTCTTTTTGCTTATTTATAACTAGCACCTTTAGATATAAATGCTTAAGTAACTAGCAGGATAGTAGAAAAGAAATATGTCAATATTTGTTATTAAAATGAGCAGTTAGGCCAGACATGAGCTTCTTATTTTATGACAGTGATGTTTGCCTTTTGTCTGAAAAATAGTGTTCATTTATTAAGCAAATTAAGTATTTACCATAAAAATTCCTGACATGGAACTTCAATTCTTCCTGGGCAAATGGACAATAAATACAGAAACTTAGTAATAATCTGTGTAATGTGTTAGAGTGGTAAGTGTTGTGAAGTAAACTAAAGTAGGTGAATTAATGTGTAGGAAGATGGAAAAGAGGAGGTTGCAATTCTAGGAGAGGTTACTAGAGAATTCCTCTGACAGATGGAAAACCCTGAAAGATGTGAGGAAGTGAACCATAAAAGATATTAGGAAGAGCATTTCAGACACAGGGAAGAGTCAGTGGAAAGACTCTAGGGTAAGAGCATATTCAAGACATTTAAGAATGGTGAGGAGTCAGAGTGTTAGGAATAGAGAAAGTGGAGGGAAGGTAGTAGGAGAAGTCAAGATGACGGGAGGGTAAAGCCTGGTCATTGTTGTTATAAAGACTTTAGCTTTCATTCTGCATCAATGGAAGGAGTGAACATGTCTGATACTAATTAAAAAAATCCCTTGGTAGCTGTCAAAAGGTAGAAATAGAAGCTGTAAACTGAATTAAGAGGCTCTTTTGCTGTAATTTAAGGGAGTGAGATAGGAGTAATTTATAAGGGAATGAGATAGGAGGTTATTAGATTTTTAACATATTTTGGAGGTAGGACCAATAGGATTGTGTAATGGATTAAATCAGAAGAAATTGTATCAAGAATGACTCGATGGTATTTTGACTGAGCACTTATAAAATTGAACAATAGGATTGAGGTAGGAAGTACAAAAGAACAGTAGGATTGAGGTAGACTAGGAAGTACAAAAGTGAAGGTGGGGATGACATTTTGAATGAGTTGTATGAGATACCCAAATGAAGGTGTTGAATAGGAGGAAGTCCAGATCAGAACCATGAATATAGATACTTACTCCCATGAGAGTAAAATGGGGGAGTTTCAAGTATTGGACCCCAAGGGACACAACATTAAGAGGTTTAAGGGTTGCATGCATGCAATGATGAGAGATGTAGTATCATGGAATGTCAAGAGAGTGATTCAAGAAGCAAAGTAATGATCAGATAAAGACTGAAAACTTGGACTAGTGGATTTCACAGCCTGCCGGTCATTGGTGACCTAGATAAGGGGTGTTTCTTTAAAAATTGGGGGAGAGAAACATCTTGATTAAAGAAATCACTGTTTCATGTTTTCGTGGTGCTTTAAGGTAGACATTCACCATATAACATTCAATTCATCTGGCAGAAATACAAATTGCAAACCTCATTCAGGAATTTTATTGCAGTTGACATTACAGACTTGAAAGGAATAGAAGTACAACTAGCAAGGTTGTGACCAGTACAATACCTGCTAGCCCCTGCCTTAGGCCACAGCAGCAGTCATAATCACCTTAGCTATCTTTTCAGTGCCTTAATTCTCATGGAAGGAATTCTTCCTCACGCAGAAGGGGCTTTTCAATGCTCCCAATACTGAGGAGTAAGATCAACCCATGTTTTGCCCAATTGAAAACCATGGCTATGTTTTGAAAATGAGTAGAGAGAGAGAATTAGTTTAGACTGGACCCTTTTACTGTGAATGCAAATGTTCCAGAATAAGCAGTATATACAATATATATAGACGTTTCCTCCATTTCATTTGATTGCTTTTTTTGTAATTTGGGGGTGGCATTGGGGAAAGGCTTACATAGAACCCCACTTCTCTTTATTCACTTGTGTGTACATATTACAGAGTTAGGAACTGTTGAGACCTTGTTTGGTAATAAAGGTTTATTAAATTGTTTTGTTTGTTTTTTAAATTGACGTGTTGGTATTGACTGTGCTCAACTACAAATTAAAAACTTAATTTTCTTTCTTATCTCTCCTCCCTAAATTGAAAGCTTTTCATTTTAGGGCAACCAAGGGTCTTGACTCTAATATACTTTCCTAAAGCCATAACAAAACTATCCAGGAAAAAAACAAAATAAACAAATTGTGTTTAAATGTATTTTAAAATGCTCTATATCTGTTGAAAGCTCAGATAAGCAACATTCTGTGTATAATGTACCTAGGTTTCTGGGGTCTTCCTTTAAAACTTAAATTGTCTCCTGAATCATTCCTGGTAATGTTTAACTCTTACATTTTGTGTAATTATTTGACAGAATATGTGGATTTTATACTTTTAGGACAGTTTTAGAAGACGACAGAAAGAAAAAAGAAAGCGAATGAAGGTGAGTTTTAATTATTTTTTGTAAGGTTCACAGTAACAAGTTGTTAGGAGGCTATTCGTTACAGTTGTTTTATTCTGTCCTCAGTAGAGACATAATGTCTACCCAACTGCCTTTTACCTGCAGAAAGAATGCTGGTGAACGATTTTAAAGACGTCCTTTCAAAGCTCTGGAGTCTGAAAGAGTATACTTGATGGGCAAGCATCACTTAGCTGTTTGAATTTTTTCGACAGTCTTGTTTTTATAATAAAAAGACAACTTTTTGTATCTTCTTGAAAGTTACTATACTTTTATTTCTGCCTACACTTTTGTCAGATTAGTCATTCTAAAATATGACAATAGAAATTTAGTTGTTTCTTTATTCAGATCCCTGACTCCTTAGTTACCTCAGAATCTAAATTTTAGTTTGACATGCAGGGGGTATGGTGATCTTTTCAAGTTCTAGATGCCCAGCTTTCCTCTTGTTGTTTCCAATCCTGCTATTTCTAAAGATGCCATGTCCCTTCTAGTTCAAGGTGTTTTCACTGGCACCTCCAAATGGATTTCTGACGTATGCCACCTTTGCATCTTACCTTTTCCTTTTCATACAGTCTTGTTTCTACTCATTTCCCCTTGAACAATCATTGTATTTATTTATTTGCAATCTGTTGCTTCTTGCTTGTAATATGTTTCCTTACTTGACTGAATAATGCTTTATAGTTAATTTCTTGAGTTCTTGTTTTTCTGGATTTTAAACACATGGAGTTTGACAACTGCCTTATATTGCTATATTTTGTTAAAATTAAGCAATTCTGGGAACTTGGAAGGGAGAAAAGTAGTTATAAGTTCAAGATCACTAACTTGGAAGGAACAACTTTGGCTTCCACTATATTATTTTATTTTAATCAGTATCTACTTAATATATTTCGCCATTCTCTTGAAACTGTCACGTGTTAAATAGATATAACTGATTGATTGGAAACAGTGAAATTCTAGCAAGTCAAAAGGTATATTTACATAAATCAAATTAAATTCTTGACTTTTTTTTTTGCCATAATAGTAGTTGCATTGTTTTACCTAACTTTTCCCTATAGTAGTTAATATTTTTATTTGGCTGAAATTGTGTTTTGACTGTAGTCTGAAATTATAAACAAACACAATGGATTAGATTAGTAAGACTTGAATAGGTTCTTTGTGTCATAACAGTGTATTACATGTATTTTTAGACAAGAGTTAGTAGTTATTAAAGGCTGTTGTTTGCAGTTTATTCATAGTGGAGACAGCCCTGTAATACTAATGGAAATTTATTTGGTTTTTTAAGTGCTTACAGTGAGGACTATTCCATTGCCCTCTTTTTCCTGTCATTTTACTGTGTTGTGATTTAATTTTGATTTTCTGTACTCATTTCCATTTTTAGAGAGATCAGCCAGCTTTCACTCCTGGTGGAATATTAACCCCTCATGCTTTGGGTTTAAGAAATTCACCCAGTTCTCAAGTAGCCAGTAATCCAAGACAAGCAGCCTATGAAATGAGGATGCAGAATAACTCTGTAAGTGACTTACTTTTATATAGCATTGAAGAATAATGACTATCCAATGCATAAGTAGTTGTGTATGCATTTTATCACTTGGCCTGGAGTTGTTTTGTGTATTTCTGAACTTCTTTTGCCCTAACATATTTTAATTTCCCATCTTTGCTCGTATGGAAACACCTAAGTGATATGAAACAAAGAGTATACAGGTAAATATAGATAGCTAAATGACTGCAGTGTTCCTATATTATAAATGGACCATAGTGCTTCTCCTTTTTTCCAGAGGTTGCTGCCTGGTGATGGTACTAGAAGCATGAGGGCAATATCTTATTGCTTCATAACTAGGCAAGAGAAGAGAGTGGGTTTTATTGCTTTAGTGCCCTTTTCCTTCAGGTATCAGTTATGAGCATTTTACAGAATAGTGTTCCATAATCTGTCAAATGCAGATACTCCTCGGTGCCCATTTGATATGATATATTTACATCATGGTATGTCTAATTTGGATTTTACAATCGAGGCTGCAGAAGAAAGTCTAAATCAGCAGCAAGATTGTATCCTCTGTCTAGTAGCTTCCTCTGGTAATGACAGAAAACCATGAGTTCATAGTACCTACAGAGCAGTAGGCGGGGAAACACCAGGATTAATGTGCACAGACAGCAGATAATTAAAGCTGTGGCTTATTCAGGCTAGTAGACTTGAGCAAAAGAATAGTAGAAGGAAGAAAGATAATACATGAGTTTTGGATTTTTTTTTTTTTTTAGGTTTATTTATTTATGCATACAGAACCGGGGTACAAGCCAGAGTTGTAGGGGTGGTGAGAGGGATCACCAAGACAGACCGGGGAGCAGAGCAGGCAGGTTGAGGGGAGCAGTGCACGGGTCAGGAGAGGTCTACTGCACCATGTGAATCACCTCTGGGCCTGGGGATCAAACTCACACCGAAGCGGCTGCGGCTTGCTTGCAGTGAGTGCTGTGTTCTAATCCGTTGTGCCATCAGGGAGGGCCAGGTTTGGATTCTTACATAAACCTTTGTCTATGAATTATCTAAGGAAATTAGATAAGTTTGGCTATTTAAATTTTATTCTAATAATTATCCTTTTGACTTTCATATTTCTTAGTCCAGGGCATCCTTAGTGTGGAAACTTTGCTATGTATCTGAAGACTGATTTACATTTTATATTTCTATTGTGGGGGAGGGAAATTTTCTTCTCAGTTCTCAGGCTGGTCAATCATCAAATTAAAGTTAGCTAGATTAATAGAAAAACCCAAATTTAATTTTGTATGTATGGGATAATCCACATAGAGATGAGGGTTCTGAGGTAAAGTGAAGGTGTAGATGCCATTCTGAGCTGGGAATGGAAAGAGGACCTATGGCTTTCATGGAGCAAAGAAAGATGATTTGCATAATGAAAAGATGTTCAATAATTAGATCTTTTCCCTGTCATGTAGATAGGTTATGCAGCTAGAAAGGTTATTTCCAAATCTTTGGAAGACCCCATGGGCATTTATCTAGTAGTTAAGGAAGTAATATAGGGTTTTCTTGAGCCTGCAGAGCCACAGTTGATGACAGCTCCAAATAGTCCTCATGACAAAGTGAAAGGTCTTAGGGAGGGCTTTCTGAATCCAGATCTAGAAGTATTAGGAGTTTAGATTTGGAATTTGAAAACTGAGATTTGTATCTCCTGAGAGAAGGAGCCCACATTTATGTTCTTATTTTGTCCTTTTTGATTTTGTTTTTATTCCTTTTGCTATGAGTCAAAGACATTTGAATGTAACAGAAAAAGTTGATGTCCATCATTTAAGATTATACAATACTAATTGAAGTCCTCAGAATGGAACTGAGAGTGGTAGACAGTCTCAAGCACCATGTTAGAATGCTTTTTTCTTCATCTCAGAAAGATAGATTGGTTTAAATGTTGCCAGCTATGATTGCTTTGAGAATTCCAATATTCAGGCTCTACGTCACTAGACTCACAGCTGATTAATAATACATGCCAATAGGATAGGAGCAAAAAGATTGGTAATTAGGTTGCTTATTTGATCCTGCCTTAATTCCTCTTGCCAAAATTATTTTTATGGGAATCTTTGCATAGGAGGGAAAACTGCAGCCATTCTCAACTTAATAGTTGTCTGATTGTAAAAACAGCTTTAGAAAAAGAAATTTGAACAAATTGGTATGAGTCCGACTTCAAGAAAGAATGCTTTGGTGGTAGGGATAGAGCGGAAAAGAGAACAGTGGAGACTTTAAGGCACAAACAGCTTTTTTAAAAAAAAAAACTTTGATATATTATTTTTGTTATCTTAAGTTAGAGACCATAGCATGTTTGTCAGTTTGGGAAAGTTTTCTTTTTGTGCAGCTTCTCTGCACTTAAGTGATTGATGGGAATATCATTCCCGTTGTTTACCCCAAAAGGATTACTGTGCAATCTTAAAAAATAATGATGATCACTTACTCATTGAATTGGTTAACCATCATGCCCAGGCAGGCAACATTCTGTTTATCTTTCACACAAACTGTTTTATTTTATCCTTTGGATAACCTGTGAAGAGAGAATATGATTGCCATTTCCAGTTGAAGTTAGGGCTGACAGATGCTTAATAAATTGTCCACAGCTGCATAGCCATTAAAGGTTGGACTTAGTATTTCAAGCCCAAATCTCATTTTCCAAGTACATCAATGCCTTCCATATGGGGTAGGGTACAACACTTTTTTTTTTTTTTTTTTTTTTAAAGATTTATTTATTTATTCATACAGAACTGGGGTACAGGCCAGAGGCTCAGGGGCGGTGAGAGGCTTCACCAGAGACAGAGTGGGGAGCAGAACAGGCAGATTGACGAAGTACACTGCTGAGGGGAGCAGCGGGCGGGTCAGGAGAGGTCTGCCACGCCATGTGGTCACCTCCGGGGCAGGCGGCAGGCGGGAATCGAACTCATGCGGAAGTGGCTTCAGATTCTCAGTGCTGTGCTTTAACCCGCTGCGCCACCAGGGAGGGCCCGGGTACAACACTTTTAACAATACATTGCCCATACATTATAATGAATGAAATTGATATACATTATTCAAAGGAAAGTGTTCTAATCTCTATAGGAAATAAAATTTTGTTTTGTTGTTACTTTTCTTGTTAACTACCTTCTAAGGTTTTATTTTAAAGTATTAAAATAGCCACCTAAGTGTTCAATTAAAAAATAATTCAATTTCTTGAAATATCTAAACACTGTGACTAGCAGAAGGTATACTTTGCCACTTTTATTTTTGGTCATTTAACATGAAACTAAGGTTGAAAAGGTTTTATTTTATTTTTAAATTAAATATGAGAACACTATAGTATTGAGTTAGGTGTAAAGAGAATATAATACTGAAATTAAAGTGATACCCAGGTCTTTGAAAGATTAATAGCATATGCATTTTCCTCAGATGACTAGTAGATTTTTATTTGTATATTGAATTTTACAACAGTACATGTAAAATAATTTAACAGTTACCGAACAGTCTCCTTAAACTGTTACTTTTCAAAGTAGTTGTGCTAGGGTGAACACTTATATTTACCTTCATTTTCATCAGCATTAATTCATATTAAGTAATACTTTTCCCTTACAACTTGGCATTTGATTTCATGGAACATGATTGTAAATTCATAACACAAGGAAACCACTAAAGGAAAATAAGCGTTCAAGTCCTGTGGTTTTAAACAACCATAAAATTAAATTTTTCTCTGTTCGTTTAAACAGTTTTTACCTATAGTTAAAAATTTTTTGAGGTCAAGCACAGGTAGTTAGTACTATTAATTTCTTTTTTGAGGGGAGTTGAGGTAGCCCAAGATCAATCTTTGTACTTTCTAAATATATTTACTACATCTATTTAACAGCCTTTTAAAAATGTATTACTGTGAACATGGTGGTGATAATAACGGTTGTATTCAGCTTTTCATGTGAAATTAATAATTACCTGTCGGAGACCAGCTCCAGCTTTTGAGGTGTCTGGAAGCAGCACAGGCAGGACCCTAAGATGGGAAGGCATCTGCGAGCAGAGATTCCAAAAGGGGAGACAGGAGCAGGCATGAGGAAGACACAGGAGTCAGGATAGGGTGCAAGTCTTCCTGCTATCCCTTCAGCAGGTCTTTATTTATACTGTGTAGCAAGTAGTTAATCGTAATAATGCATAGGGTAAGTTAATGATATATCTCCAGAAAACATTCTCAAGGACAAGGGGGGAAAAGCATTCTTCTCTTAACAATTTATGGTATAATAGATTATATGTTTTGTGATAGTTATCATGTATACAGCTGTCTAGTTATCACTCAAAGGAAGAGGGGTCTGAGAAAGGGTGAGCTTGTTAGCAAAAGGTTGTTAGGGGTCTTGGGGTAGTAATAAATTGTGTTAGCAGTGTTATCAGTGTCTGTCTAAAAAGCTAGTGGCTAATTTAAGGCAGAGAGTAGTTAGTGCTTGTTTTAAAAAGGAGTAAATTAAGAGAAAGTTGTACAGTTGTATATCAAACAACACCTGTGTAGTCAAGGTTAAAATTTGTCTATTATGCCCTGGGAGCCTTATCTGAGGTTTGCTTTTTTATTTAAAGAAACCAAGGAAGCTTCCCAGGAGTTTTTATGTCCTGGGGTCTTGTTTCTCCTGGGGCTTGCCTTTTGTCTCAGGAGACAGAGGAATTTCTTCTCCTGGGGCAGCTTGCCTGAACCAGGCAGCCGCCTGTGTGGCTAAGACAATCCAGTTGTAAACTGAATGTTGCTCAGCATATTTTGATATTATGGTTATACAAAAAAGGGAGGTCATCACATAAGTTAGCAGTGGAAAGTCTGATTTTTCAGAGCTTATCCCGAACCACCCGGAATTTGTCAGACGATGGATGTTGCATAGCTTGTGTCACTTAACTTCTTCCTCTGTAATGTCATAATTGTTTGCAGAGTCCTTCAGTGTCTCCTAATACAAGTTTCACTTCTGATGGCTCCCCGTCACCAATAGGAGGAATCAAACGAAAAGCAGAAGACAGTGACAGTGAACCTGAGCCAGAGGATAACGTCAGGTAGAGCCCTTTTTTTTGGTAGCACTTTGTTAGCAAATTGCTGAAATAGATGTGGTCTAATTAATGCTATTTAGCTTAGAGCAGCAGCGCCTTCAAATGCTTGCCTGTGATCTTTTTATCCACTAGTAATTAATGTGGAGAGTTAGAATAGACAGTAAATTCCAGTGAGATGTATAAGCTATAGCTGTTAAACCTAAGTATCTAGATTAGTATGCGTGCAGGTTTTTGTCCTCCAAGCCACTTTTCCCTCTGAGACCAAGCACTAGATGGGCTAGACAGGAGGTGTTTAGCTCTGACTATGTGATCTGAATGTTACTGTTTTTGAGATTAAATTTTCAAGCTGCTTAACCCAGAAAGTTCAGTTACACTTGGATACTTAATATAGTTTGCTTTAATCTTCTCAATTGAAAAGGCTTTTCCTTAAAATGAAATATGCATAAGTCATTCAGTTAAAGATATATACTTAAAAAAAAATCTTGTACATAATACTTTTTTGTGTGTGACAAAGAAGTTTCCCTTTAGTTGTATATTTAAAATTGTTAACAGGAAGCTTTGATTTTTAAAAATTTCCAGATATTTGAGATCATTATGAGATGAACAGCCTCTTGCGCTTAAAAAATGAAAACAACAAACAGATTTTGAACCGTGGCTCCAAGTACAAGAGACCCACAATCTCAGTGATTATATAGCTCATTAAGAATTGAGCAAAATGTTGTAATTCAGAGTTAAAACAATAGTGATCCACAGTTCATCTTTCCTTTTTAGGACATGGATGGTTTGTACCTGTGATTAGAAACTTAACAAATAACATGTTTAGCTATGAATTTCCTAACATTAACATCCCTTTGATGTGAGATTCTGAGATCTGTGGCGACTTTTGAGTGAACATTTACTTGATATGAGTTTTTGTCCTGTGCTACTGTAACTTACTATGTTGTAAACAGGATCAGAACAGACTGATAGGTTCAGTTGATTTAATTAGTGTTTTTTTTTTATGCTGCTGTTGATGCTAATCAAGATAGAAGTTCTTTATCAAGAAGTAGTTGGGTTCTTAGCATTTGCTTCATTAATATTTTCTATAAAATAATAGACAATTCATAATATCTCTGGATAATATGGGATCGAGAGGGTATTTCTCCTAATTGACGTTCTATGAATCCTGTGTGTGTGTGTGTGTGTGTGTGTTGGCGGGGGGCAGGGGTGATTAAAATTGGTATGGTGTATTCTGAAACATGACTGCAATTAATTTGTAAGAGCTGGCACATGGTAGAAAATAGCCTTTAATGGAGAATCATATTGTTATTCTTGAGCTGTGCTAATTTAGTGTTCTTTGACTTATTTGTGTTCCTTCAATACAATGCTTAAGTCTTTTAGAGAATAAGAAGTGTACTTTTTTAAAATGCATACTTTGAATGAAAGTGATTTGTTACATTGTATTTCAGTAATTGATAATTTCATAAATTGATCTGCATCTAAATTTTCTCAGAATGAACAAGTATACTTGTGTGTGTGATCTTATGCTAACAACCTTCAGCAGAGCGGGTTAAGGAGAGTAGTTATACACATAACTTCTGCCTGGTTCCCAGATTATTGTTTGATAAACTATTTTTTTACCCTTTAAAAAAATTACCCCTGCATGATTTAGTGATGGGAAGCCCACAGGGATTACAACTGAAATGGAAAAAGGCACAAAATGATGTAAAAATGAAAATAAATTACAGTAAATTTTTTTTTAAAACTTTAAAAAATTGTAAACTCAAAAAAAAATGATCCATGGAAAGAGTGATTGACTTTCTTTCTGTAGTATAAATAATGTAGAATTTTAAGGAACTTGTTGTATAAAATACCTTAAGTATTTGAATCTTAAAAATATGCATTGTTGCATATTTTAAAAACATATAAAACATTGATGTTTGAGCAAACATGTCTTCTGTATTAATAAGTGATTACTATCTAAATGCAGTTTTATAATGGTTTTAATAGAATCAGTATTTGGGTTTTTGGTATTTGTCTAAGTTGATAATAAATCCTGTGAAAGTTAACTTTTTAGAAACAAGTAGAATTATTTTAACATTGATATTTAATTCAAACTTTACATCACACCTGGATATTAAATTGATTTGGATTATAAAATAGTAGACAGTTGCTGAAAGTGTACTAATTCAGTGTAAACTGGTTTTACTTGCTTTTAGGCTATGGGAAGCTGGTTGGAAGCAGCGGTACTACAAGAACAAATTTGATGTTGATGCAGCTGATGAGAAATTCCGCCGTAAAGTTGTACAGTCTTACGTTGAAGGGCTCTGCTGGGTTCTTCGATATTATTACCAGGTACAAGAAAGGGTATTCTCTACATCTCTAACTAATCATTTTAGGAAGTTAGTAACTTCTATAATAGAATACCTGTTACTGAGCTATATTGAAATTAAACCCAAACATAATGTAAAAAGCTTCCTTTTTAGAAATTCATTACCTTAAAACACATCTTTTGTAAAGCCTTTTTCCCTTAGGTATTATTATGTAAACAAAGTTAATTTGTGTTATGTTAAAGAACTTCAGCATCAAGTAGTGTGTGTCTTTAAAATGCTCAAAAATTTAATGTTTTTTTAATTGAAGTAAAAATAACTGAGTAATAAATTGTCACTAAATGACTGAACAGAAAATAGCCTAGAAAATACTATTAAGAATTTGAAAGAAAGTGATACTGTTCCCTCCATGGGTTAGTGATATTAAATGAAGTGCATTCTAATTGAAGTAATCTACTTAAAGCTTTTTGAAATTGAGATATACCAGATAGATGAGAGATTAGGTAGACATAATTTCATGTTTTACTTCCCTCTCAGCATTTTAATTCATAGGCACAAAATGAAAATACAGATCAGTAATACATGTTGTTATTTAACTGGCTTTTGTTTTGTTTTTGGTATGTTTACCTAAATCTTTTTAAAGAAATAGTTGTCATGAAAATGTAATAGGTAATTATAAAAAGAAACTTCTGTTTCAGTCACTTTTATATTCTTATCCATGTATATGCTCAGTAACTGTCAGTTGCAATTTTTCCTTGACTTGGTGATGATAGCTTGAGAGTTGAAAGAAAATGTTTCAGCAAACACATTTTAAGAATTAAAATCTTAACTAGATGTGCTTTGCAGTATTTTTTAAAATTCAAGGAACCCATTAATGTGAAGTGAAAAGTTCAAATGTAATTAAGACAACTTGTGGGGTTTGGAAAAAAGTAATATGTGGAATATATACCAAAAGTCCTATATTTTATAAATAGAGCATTATAGTTAGTCTCATTTGTGTGTGTGTTTTATGGTGCTATCATATACATAGATTTCTGTTTTGTTTTTAATGATCCTAGGGCTGTGCTTCCTGGAAGTGGTATTATCCATTCCATTATGCACCATTTGCTTCAGACTTTGAAGGTATTGCAGACATGCCTTCTGATTTTGAGAAGGGTACTAAACCGGTAAGCTTGATAATTAATGCATTAAAATTCATAGTTTGGTTTTAAATGAAATTTATATTCATATATAATTGTTTTTCCTTTCTTGTAGTTTAAACCATTGGAACAACTTATGGGCGTTTTTCCAGCTGCAAGTGGTAATTTTCTACCTCCATCTTGGCGAAAGCTCATGAGTGATCCTGTGAGTCTCCCAGTATTTTGAGTGTGTTGGTAACTAATGTTAGGCATTTTACCAACATTAGTCACAATTACTTTTGCATTTTATGCTTAAAACAGTGATACGTAAATACAAAGTTAAAGTATTTGAGTTGTTCTGTATATATTTTACTACTTTTTCACATTGTTTTCCTTGGCCATCAGTACCCAACCCAGTAAATACTACTTTGATTTAGTGACATGAGTTTAATAATCTTATGTCTTAATTTTTTTTGTCTTAAGATTTATTTATTTGTGCATACAGAACTGGGGTATAGGCCAGAGGCTCAGGGGTGGTGAGAGGCCTCACCAGAGACAGAGTGGGGAACAGAACAGGCAGATCGATGAAGTACACTGCTTGGGGGAGCAGCGGGCGGTCAGGAGAGGTCTGCCACACCTTGTGGTCACCTCCGGGGCAGGCAGGAATGGAACTCATGCAGAAGCTGCTGTAGATTCTCAGTGCTGTGCTTTAACCCGCTGCGCCACCAGGGAGAGCCTGTCTTAATGTTTTTTAAATGGAATGAAAACTCATTTCAAAGGTCTGATAACTTTAAAAAATGTTATCAAACTCTATAAATATTATTGTTTTGGAGAAAAGTATTTTTTGTTTTCAATCTTTACTTGTCCCCCAATACAGGATTCTAGTATAATTGATTTCTACCCTGAAGATTTTGCTATTGATTTGAATGGAAAGAAATATGCATGGCAAGGTAAAGTATAGGTATTATCCCTTTTTTTTTTTTTTTTAAAGATTTATTTATTTATTCGTACAGAACTGGGGTACAGGCCAGAGATGCGGAGGGTGAGAGGATTCACCAGAGACAGAGGGGAAGCAGAACAGGCAGATCAACGAAGCACACTGCTGAGGGGAGCAGCAGGCGGGTCAGGAGAGGTCTGCCTCACCATGTGGTCACCTCCAGGGCAGGCGGGGTTCGAACTCATGCGAAAGTGGCCTTAGCTTCCCAGTGCAGTGCTTTAACCCGCTGCGCCACCTGGGAGGGCTGGTATTATCCCTTTTTGTTAAAATAATTTACTCAGTTTTCTTAAAAGTGTAAGCCTTACATGATTTTTGGTATGAAAGAATTTGAGTTTTTAAAGAATTACTTCTACCCCTAATTAGTACTGATTAGTAATCATTTTAATAGTAACATTCTGAATAGTAAAGAGGGTTGGCATACATTAATTTAACAACTCTATTTTTTGTTTTCCTGGGACTTGCTCTTTCCAAACAGTAACTCATTGACAGCAGCTAGTAAGGTTGCTGAGAGATACAAAAACATGACAAGATCTATGTGGAAATTTGCTTATATTCCATGCAAGATTTTGAAATTTGGTTTCAAATTTGGTGTTGGAAATTTGGTTTAAGTACTTGATTTATCATTACTGAAAGTTTCTTATTTATTTATTTATTTTTACTCCACTTGTTCACAGATTTTTGTAAAAATGGCAATATGAACTTAGTGCTAAATTTAAGGCAGTGTAACTCATTGACATCCATATAGATGATCAGTAAAGCATCTGAAAATTGTGGTCAAAGGGAATAAATAATAGTTTGCACGTTGAAAATCATTATTTGATGATATTTTGGGATTGATTTTTGGATTATGTAGTAACAAGTTTCATATTTAATGGAGTGTTTATAGGAAATACAACCCATTGATTGTTGTTTTATAAGTATTGTGTTCTGTAGCCATATTTTATTATCTATAGATGTAGTGGATTCAGTTATTTTTGAGGCATTTAGTGAAATACAGTTTGATTAAAATTGAGGGAAGAAGGCATAGGAGAATGGGCAATGGTAAAATGAAATTTCTCCATGTCGTGGCCAACCTTTATTTTTAGGTGGGTTTTTTTTTTTTTTTTTTTTTTTGTACTACCAAATCCTAATGGGGATGAAGTGGCATTTTACTGGTTGTTTTTTGTTTTTTTTTTAACTTACATTGCCTTAATAATTAGGATCTTTTTTCCTCAATGTACTTAACTGACTGATTTTTTTAAAATTTATTTATTTATGCATACAGAACTGGGGTATAGGCCAGAGGTGTGGGGGGTGAGAGGATTCACCAAAGACAAGAGAGTACAGAGCAGAACAAGCAGATTGACTGAAATACACTGCTGAGGGGAGCAGCAAGTAGGTCAGAAGAAGTCTGCCATGATATGTGGGTTAGCTCCCTTGTTGGGTATTGAACTTGTGCTGCAGTGGCTTCAGAGAGCCTGTATTGACTGATTTTTTTAAAAAAAACTTAAAATATTAGCTTTTTGGTGATCAGTCTCTATGCTGTTTAATACCTGGAGAAATTGTCAAATCCTGTGTCATATAGCTTTCCCTCTTCTTCCTCTTAAGAATTTTATAATTTTAACTCTTACATTTAAGGTATTCTATTTTAATTTTTACTTATTATAAGGGTCCAGTTTCATTCTTTTGCATGTAAGATACCCATTGTCTCAGCACCATTTGTTGAAGAGATTACCCCTTTCCTATTGAATGATTTTAACATTCTTTGAAAATCATTTGATTGTGAGAGTTTATTTCTGGGTGCCCTATCCCTTGGTCAGTAAGTCTTTTCTTATGCCAGTACTATAGTGTTTTATGATAGCTTTGTGTAGTAAGTTAGGAAATCAGGAAGTCTGGATCTTCCAACTCCACCCCTTTTCAAAATTGTTTGGAATATTTGGGGTCCTTGGGATTCCAAATTAATTTTAAATGACTTTAACTTCAGGTATTTAGCATTTTGTATTTTATCTAAGTATTTTCATTTACTGAACTAGCAAGAGCACACCTTTACTGAAGTAAAATTTCTTACAGGTGATGCAACAATTTTTTCATGTCTTTAAAACTTACTGAAACTAATAATAATGCTTAGTTAAGGTCTTGCCAAAATTGAGTTTAAATGGTAGAAGATACAGTATATCTGGGTTATTGAACATTTGTGCTATGTGTAATAACAGCACTGTTGTGTTTTCATCATATTTCCTTTGTATATATAAAAATATAGCAGTTATTTTGAGTTCTATATATTTTACATATAAAGAGAATTTAAAGTAATCTGATCAAAGTCACACAGTGGCAGAAATAATAAGTGAACCTAGAGAGTATGAGTCTAAAACTCACATGTCAACTCCCTGTGTTTTCTTAATTTTTTTTTTTAAGATTTATTTATTTGTGCATACAGAATTGGGGTACAGGCCAGAGGCTCAGGGGCGGTGAGTGAGAGGCTTCACCAGAGACAGAGTGGGTAACAGAATAGGCAGATTGACAAAGTACACTGCTGAGGGGAGCATTGGGCGGGTCAGGAGAGGTCTGCCACACCATGTGGTCACTTCCGGGGCAGGCGGGAATTGAACTCATGCGGAAGCAGCTTTAGATTCTCAGTGCGGTGTTTTAACCCGCTGCGCCACCAGGGAGAGCCCGTTTTCTTAATTATTACTTTGACCTGTACTATCTCTGAGTTGTGGTGCATATTAAAATGTCTGTAGTAGATTATATAAGTGCTCAGACAAAGTAGCTGCTCTTGTTTTTATTAGTTCACCCAAGCACTGCCATTTATCACATTTGTGTGTAAAGCATTCCTTACTACCCTGGCTGCTTTGTTACATAGTAATCTTATTTCAGCTACTAACTCTACAAGTTACATATGAGTTGGAGTTAGCTTATGTAGTCAATAAAGTAGGAAAGACTTGCTGATACTTTGTTTAGATACTAAATCTAATAGGTAAAATGAAGCTAGGAAATGTTTTTCATGGTATAATTTTTTAAGTATATGATTAAATAAACTTGAGCAACCTCCCCAAGGTGTGTTCCATATAAAGTTACCTGTCATGAAATAAACTGGCTCAGGTAATACATATTAATGTCCTGGAAGTCATTTAAAATTCACAGTGGAACTTAGTTCTTTTATATTGTTCAAATGCATATATTGTTGTAGAATTGACTATATTTTCTAACTTTTGACAGTACAGTATCTGCATAATTAATGACAACTCTGGAAACTTATCTCATTATTTTCAAGGGAATAGCCACAAATTCATCAGTTTTGCGTTGACAGTAGTTTCAAATCATCTCTGTTCAGCATTTCTTTGTGTTATTTATCTTAAAATGCTTATTTAACCAGAATACTATTTGTACTGTGTACAAGAGAGCGAATATATACTTCAGTACCGTCACATATTTTTCTAGTAATCAATATTTTATTACTGATGTGCTACTTTGAAAATTATGCATGTATGTTACAACTAAAATAACTACGTTGTTTTAGCACTCTTCAGGACAGTTTTCAGCCTGAGAGTGAATAGCAGCTATTCTTTAGCATCCACCTCTTAAGTTACTTAGGCAGATCTCTAAAAAAATTGTGTGTGTGTGTGTGTGTGTGTGTGTGTGTGTGTGTGTTTGTTTGTGTGTGTGTGTGTGTGTAAGTAAAACTAGGTCTTCAGTATAAACAGTTTTTATGCAGTTTTAGAACTGGAGGAGGCATTCTTTGTATTTTAATATTTTATAGACAAATGATCTTTTTACAGTAAAAGAAACCAAAGAAGTCTTAGAAAGATGCAAGGATAAGCTCCAGCATTTAAGAGATTAATAGATCCTGAGGGTGTTACAGGGTAGCCTAAAGTGGACTGGGCCGCCTATCTGTGGGGTCTCACCCACACCCTCAAAATTCAGTTATACTGCAGTTACACACAAAAGGGTCAAAATGGGTCTATTTACAAAAGGGGAAAGGAATGAATAGAAAACAACCCAGGGAAAGAGAGCAGGATGTAAAGTAACTGGAATACCTTACTGGCTCAGCTGACTGAAAACACTGAGTCACGCGGTTTGGAGAGCCGTTTCTGGAGCAAGAGAGAGCGTGGGAGACGCAATTAGGCCCTATTTATCCCCCAATGTCCCAGAATTCCTGCTAGCTACACCCTTGGGTCCTCATAGTTCTCTCCCTGGTACTGCTGGGAGTTGTAGTTTCCAATCTCTGGAGTAGGGAATAAAGTCCAGAAAGCTGGAGTAGGGGGTTGATGTCCACAGACTTTGCAGAGTTCCTTTAGGACATCCTTCCCCTTAACAAGGGGAGCAGCAGGTGGATCAGGAGAGGTCTGCTGCGCCATATGGATCACTTCTGGAGCAGGATTGAACTCATGCTGAAGTGGCTTTAGCTTCTTAGTGTTGTGCTTTAACCCCCTGCACTACCAGGGAGGGCCCTAATTTAAAATTTTTATAAGAGAGCTAGGACTCAGCAAGCATGTTTTTCTGTATATGGGCCATTTTAAAGAGTGGTACATACGTACTTTTTTTTTTTTTCTTCTACTACTGTGTGTGGAAAGTACTTGTATCTGAGTTTTGGTTACATAGAATTCAGTTCTATATTTTTTTAGTAGCAGAAATGTTTATTTGCACCAATGACATGTTGGAATTTAAATGATCGAATAGCTCAGGGTTTGGTGTACTTTTGTTTCCCCAGGGGTAGCCTTGTTGCCATTTGTGGATGAACGAAGACTGCGAGCTGCTCTAGAGGAGGTTTATCCAGATCTCACTCCAGAAGAGAGTAAGGATTATACTTCTCCTTGGTCAACATTGAGTCAGTGAATTACAGACTTTCCATTTCCTTATAAAATAAGATTTCATTAGACACAAATCCCACCTTTTTTTTTGCCTTTGGTAAATTTTCTCAAAGAGGGAACATAAATAATTGATTGTGCTTATTTATAACAAAAATTAGCTTTACTTCATTAAAAATTACCGATAGTTAAATAGTAAGTAAAAATTTTTAGCGTAATTGTTTTTCAGATGTATTAAAAAACAACACTTCAGAATATCCTTTGACTTAATTTTTGTATGTGCATATAAGAGTATTTTTGTATGTTATTTTTATATGTTGTATGTTCCTTATCCATTTTTTCCTTCATCCCTCCCCAAATAATAACTTTGCCTGAAAGTACAGTTCAAACAAAAATATTTACTGTCAGTGTTTAGATGTTATGTTGTACAAAAAAATGAAAAGTGGCATTTTGTTATTAATACGGATAGAATTGGGCTGTATTGGACATTTGACTTAATTTCAGTATAATAAGCCTGTAGAAATAATTTTTCTCATATCCTTATAATTATCTTTGTTATGTGATTCAATTTGTGTTTTATTGGAGTATGTTTATATTTTTCTTATATCAAGATTTTGAGTTTAGTATAAGTAGAAAATTTTACTCCTTTTAGTACTAGTTTAGGGTACATTTAAGTAACAGTTTTCCTGTTGGTCTTTAATCTTTGAAACCTTACTGGCAAAAGTTTGTTTTTTTACATACATGTCACAAATGTAGGCCTTTTCACTTCTAAATTACTTTTGTAAACCTTATAATTAAGTTTTTGTAATATATGTGATTTTTTTTTTTTTTTGCTTTACCCTAATAAAATTTTTTCTTGCAGATGTAATTGTTTAATCTTTATTCTCTTCTTACTTTACCCCCAGCTAGAAGAAATAGTCTTGGAGGTGATGTTTTATTTGTGGGGAAACATCATCCACTCCATGACTTCATTTTAGAACTGTACCAGACAGGTTCCACAGAGGTATGCTCTTTTTTTTTTCCATCATCAAGTGTTTTTAGATTAAATTTCTTGTTAATCAGGAATGCATTTTTAAAATTTTGATAAATACGAACAATTTACCACTTTAACCATTTTAAAGTGAATAATTTGGTAGCATTAAATCAGTTCACAATGTTGTACAACCATCGCTGCTATCAGTTTCCAAAACTTTTTTATCTTTCCAGACAGACACTGTGTACCCTTTAAGCAGTTGTCTCCATTCTCCCTTCCCTTCTACATCTGGTAACCTTTCTCCTACCTTTTTGTATTCTCTACCTCTTTTTGAATCTGCCTAATCTGGTTCCCTCATATAAATGAATCATACAGTACTTATCCTCCAGTATCTGGCTTATTTCAATGTTCAACATGTTATATAACATATGTTATATCAGAATTTCATTTCTTTTATGTCTGAATAATATACTATTGCTTGTGTACACTACTTCTGTTCTCCTTTTAATGGAAACCTAGGTGTTTCCACCTTCTGACTACTTAGAATAATGCTCCTATGAAAGTTTTTGTAAAAGTTTGTTGAAATCCCTGGTTTCCCTTGTTGGGAGGCCATATATAATGAGGAGTGCCTTTTTTCCATAGCCAGTGGATGTACCACCTGAACTATGCCATGGAATTCAAGGAAAGTTTTCATTGGATGAAGTAGCCATTCTTCCAGATCAGTAAGTGTTCATTTGTGTATAATTGGGGTGGCTAGTAGAAAGTTTAGCTAGCATTTTTTACCTGTTACCTAAACTTTATTTTGTAGTAAAACACAGGGGGAAAAAACAAAAAAAAATTGCTGAACTAAAAAGGATTTGAACAGATTGTCAGCCATTATAACTATGTCACTTTGCGAAGAGAATCTCTAAAACTCTTTCCAGAGATTACAAGGTCAGAACTTTTAATATCAAAGCAGAGATGTTTTTATTTGTTTTTCTTACTCTCGTTCTTGTGTGTCCAGAGAAAAAATATAGTATATTGAAATATAAAGCGATAGACATAACCAATATAAATAAAAACTCTCTTGTTGTGGTTCTCAATTTTTATAAAAGTGTAAAGTGATTCTGAAATCAGAATTTGACAGTTGCTGTTCATTATATCCAGGAAAATAATTGCTGGTCGAATCATGGTAACTTTGTCTTTTCTAGCTAGGCAGGGTGGTTATATAATGACAGCACTTTGTGCGGGATCTTGCTCTATATTCTTGCAACACTTTAGAATTCTCACAACCTTTTGTCTGATAATGCTTACTGGCATATTGTGATTTCCAGTTGCATTTCTCTGATTACTAATGAAATTATATGCCACATAGTACATTTATTAACCATTTCATTTTCCTCATTATGAAATGCCTGATTTATTTTTCTATAGAATTACCTTCTTCCTACCCCCATTTTTGCTTTGTAGCTAATCTTTTCGAAATTTAATGAGATTACAAATAAGGGAAACCGTTCAATTTTAAAGATGTTAATATTTTATCATTTTTTGTTGGTGCATTTTGATGACTTTTCTTTCCTAGAGCCTACCAAATATAATCAACATCTTACTCCAACTAGCTAAACGGTTACAATTGACAAATAGATGGTTCTTCTCTTGTTTTTCTTTAGAATTGTATGTTCTCCTGTTCCCATGTTAAGGGATCTGACACAGAATGCTGCAATCAGGTAAGTCTTCCCAAATTCATGGCATTAGCCCAGCACACATCTCTGAACTTGCAAATAAGTTTCAGAAGATCAGTGATTCACAAGGAAATGGCAACTATTATTCTACCAGTGCTTTGAGTTTGAAGAGTCCCAGTGTTGTAAACTCTGAGCAAAACCTCTTGACTTTAAATTATGTATATTGTTAAGGTTACTGATTTAACAAGCTTGCTTCTCTGCTTTCTGGTTTCCCTGACAACCTAATTCTTCCTGGATTAGGAAACTGGGTGGTAGAAAGTAGGAATTTCTGGGAGTAGTTTGTTATATAGGAGCAAATAGACCACTATACCCCCACAGCTTTGCTGTATTCAGGCAAGATATTTTAATTATATTTATAATTTTGTCCCTGCAGCATTTAAAAACAAAACTGTATTGTACTTTAATTTGTTTAAGATGAAAAAGTAAGTTTGTGGAAACTTTTATCAGCAACTCTATACTTTAAAAGGGCTACTTTCTGCTATCTGGTAAATATTTATACTTCATTTCTTCAATAATGATAGAATTTTCTGCTGAGTAGAAATGTAAAATATAGCATGGCTGTTTAAAAATCAAAATTTTTACTGATTTGTATAATTATTGTATATGATTACTAATCTTAATGGCAGAATTTATGTTGTCATATTCTTCAATCTGTAGATGTAACACATTCTAGTCATTCAAGGATTTCCTAACAGCCTACTTAAGAAGTTTATTTCTCAATCAACCTTGCCCACCCATTCTCATTTCTCACTATCAGGAAATACTTTTAATTTTACTTATTTCTTATTGTGAAGTACAAATGTGTATATTTTCCTATATAACATTTAGCTAATGCTATAATGTTTATAATTTCTATCTAAGATTTAGATAGCAACTACCATTCAAATGAAAGATTTTTATTTATAGAAAACTTGTGAATTTGGAAATTTTGCCTATGTTAGTTGCTTTCATTTATCTTTACAAATAATTTGTCCTGGCCTTTTGTCTTTGAGATCTTTTAAGGGTAGAGTTCAGAATTGTGAACCGTGCTCTCTCTGCCTGCCCATCACAGATCTGGTGTGGACAATACCTATTGACCCTGTGTTATTTGGCTTGCAGCGATTCTTCAGGCCAGTTAATCCCACCAGCTCTCTCTTTGGATGGTTACTTGTTTACTTGTGCTCAACTTTTCTCAGGTTTTTAAGGGCTTTTCTGCCCAGCCCGCTAGAAATAGTTAATACTGCTTAACTTTCTAATTAGGACAGAGAGTTGCCCCAGAGGAGAGCTGAAAAATTACACATCCTGGAGTTTTTGTTTGTGTGATGTTGTTGGTTAGTTCTGAGTTTGAAGGATCCTTTCGTATTATTTGGCATCCACACTGTTCACAAAATCATTAAATTTATATAATAAATCCCAGATTGAAGTGCATATTAAGTTTATGTTAGAAATAACTTTACAGTGGAATTAATTTCAGCTAATTTCATATAGATTCCTGAAAGACCAAAGTTAACTTTTACTTTCTATGGTAATTTGCAGTGTTTTTCTCTGAGGGTAATATTGAGGCTGAGGTCTATTTTTACTGCAAGTTTTGTTTTGTTTCTGCCCAGTGCTTTTTTGCTTTATAAATAAAAGCCTGAATATACATAGCTTTCAGTGCCAGTTATTAGTTATTTTTCTGTTTTGATTCCTGTCTTTTCCCCTTTCTTTTTCTGAATGCATCCAGCATTTCATTTCCTCAAGTTGAATTTAGGTGGATACTTTCTATCATGAAAGGACTCTCAGATTACAGTTATCTGTGATCTAGAAGATTTTTTTCTTCCTTAATTCTGATTCTATAAATCAGCGATGTTAGTTGCTGAACTTTGAATAGAACTGAGCTGTTTCCTTCAATTTCTTTCATATTGTTCTTCCTCTACCATTATAACTTGTTTAGATATAATTCTTTTAGGACAGCTCTTTTGTTTTGCTTTTTAAGATGAACTTTATACTTTGGATCTTGATACATGTATAGTCTAGTAGTTATATGATTTTTAAAAAATTAATAAATTTATAATTGACTAAAATCCCTCTTTAAAATATTTACTAAAATGATTTTAGCAATAATGTATATACCTGCAAATATGTATTATTAGACACAGCTCGATTTAATTTCATTAATAATAACAATGGACATCAGCCCTTAATGCTTACATGAAAATTCTGCCTCATTAATAAGAGTTTTAGCTCTTGGAAAGGAAAATATAGATGAGAGTTCATTACAGAGCACACTGATGAGCTCTTTAACGTTGTTGAATTGTGCTTATTATGTTGTTAGACATTTTAGCAAAATGAAATGTTTACAACAATGAACCTATTACAAATATTAGTCACCTATAATTTGGCATTTCTTTTTTCTTAATTTAGTTTTATTTATTTAAAGATTTTTAAAATTTATGCATACAGAACTGGGGTACAGGTCAGAGGTATGGGGGAATAAGAGGATTCACTAAAGACAGAGTGGGGGGCAGAACAGGCAGATCTACAAACTACACTGCTGAGGGGAGCACACTTAAGGCTTATCATCCCAAATATATTTGGTTTCTCTGTAGTGTCAGTGAATTGCACTTGGTTTATTCAAGGCCTGTTGTACTTTGGTTCAGTATAGCTCTGTGTCTGAATCCCACAGTTGTTTAGGAATGCCTCCTTGCTACCTAGCTTGATCCTTTTGGTACCCTGTACCTTTCTCCCATTGCTTGGAATGTCCTTTTGTAGCCTCTCTTTTGTTGCTTTTCTTCTCTTGAAAAGGTAACATTTATGTATATATAACTTTTATATATATGATTATACATATAATTTTTGTTATTTTCATCAGTAGAAATGTCAGGTTTTTTTTCTCTCATAACACCTAGCATAGTTTTAAATCCAAGTAAAAACTCAGATATTCAGAGTATTCAAATCAGTGCCTGCCAAAGTTTTTTAAGAGCCCATACTTCTTTCTTCAGAGGACTGTTCCTCAAACTTCCTATTTGCCTTTGAATAAATTGGACAACTGATAGAATGTTTCATCTCAAGCATTTTTCTTAAAAATGTGAATGTATGTGAAAGTCTTCTTTTACTATAACTGTTACTACATGTTTATAAGGTATATGGTTATCCACATTTGGTTAGAATTCTGAAGGAAGAGGAGTATGATTAGGAGAGTTTTAACTTTTACTACCTATAATACTTAATAGGACGATGGACTGGATACACTCTTAGAAAAGGCTAGAAAAGACACCTTAAGTTCTATAAACTCTTTTAAATGTTTTCAAATATCAAGTATATGAATCATGCAAATATGTAAGTTTGCATTGGCATGCTGATGTATCATTAATTATAGAATGTGTCAGGAAAGGATAAATAAAAGTGAAATTTGGTATTGGAGCTCTCTGCTTTCTTTATGAAGTTGCCAGCACTCTCAAGCAATAATAGTATTTAAGAGGGCATTTCTAGAGATAATTCTTAAAGTGAATAGAATGGTTAAAAGAGGTATACATTCTTGTTCGCACTTTGCTAAATAAGGTTTTCTTTCTTTTTACAAGTAGTGTTTAAAAGTGCTAATTGTTACATTAATGGAGTGCTCTTAGTTTTCGTTATTTTCAGCTAAACTAGGTTTTAAATTTGTATTCATATATTTTGTCCTCAGTGTGTTTATGAAGACAAATAGGTTATTAAGCTACTAGGAAGATTGTCTACAAAGTAGATATCCATGATGCTTGCTACTCCTGATTCAGAGCTGGCCTACTGGAGAAAAGCTTATGCTCAAAGAAGTAGCATTTCTGAGTCCAGCAAGTTGGTAACAGAGTGAGGACACCAGCTGCCTCCTCCACATATCCACAACTAGATTACAACAAAGTAGATTCAACACCCCTGAGAGATAAACAGAACAGACATTGCATGTATCAGGAGGAATGACATGGGGACAACAGAAAGAAAAAACTAACTGAAGAGCATTTAATTTGATACCTGGGTGGTACAATTGATGAGAGGAAGGTTTGACAACTGTATGGAAATTTTGCTGCTGTTGATTCAGGGCTATATCCACTTCAAGGATTTTGGAGACCTGGCATTGACCTGGAGAGTGGGGTATAGGACAAGCAAAGCAGGTACACTGTTAGAGAACTATTCTAGTAAAGGTGCAGAGTGTTAATTACTGGCTTAGTCTTGAAATTCCTAAGCTTTTTTTAAAATAATAAAATGTTAAGCACTTAGATTTCAATAATCACCTAAATGAAATGGCTTGAATTTACCAATTTAGAGGTATTAAGTAGCTGAGTTGATTGCAAATAAAGTCCTTCTGTGTTTACAGGATATTCATTTTCCAACCAGAATTAGAATTAAAAGCTGGAAGACAGCCCTACAGACAAAAGCCAGTCAAAAAAAGGAACAGCTATACTTACATCAGATAAAATAGATTTACAATTTTAAAAGGTAATAAGAGAAGGATGGATATTATATTGTGATTAAGGACCTAGTACAGTAAGAAGAAATAACACTTATAAATGCATATATACACCAAATGATGAAACCCTATATTTATATAAAGCAGTTAATAATAACAACTACAGAAATTGACAAGAATAAAATCATAGTAGGGGATTTAATAGACCTATGGATAGCTCAACAAGACACAATAAATAAGGCAACAGTGGTTTTAAGTGAGGAACTAGAGCCAGTGGGCTTAACAGATATTCTATCCAAAAATTGCTTCATACATTTTCAAGTGTAGATGAAATATTTTTTAAGTATAGACCATATGTTGGGACACAAGTCATTTGTCAATACAGCTACAAGATTGAGTCATTCCAAGTACTCCTTTGACCATAATGCCATAAAGTAGACATCAATTGAGAGAGAATGAGTGTGAGAGAGAGTGTGTATGTGTATAAATACTTGAAGAGTTAGTGTAGTGCTTAATATCAATTGTATTAAAAAATTAGTGCAGAAATTTAAGAATACCTCATGACAAATGTAAATAAGGATACAAG